AATATATATCTTTAACAATGAAACATGCACAGCAATGCAGAAAGCTGCTGTACTAATGAAGAGCCACGGAAGAAAGAAAATACTTCTGGAAATAAATTTTTACTGATAAAATCATTCAGATTAATTTTTTCCTACTAGTTTTAAAGAAAATATCAGTTTACCGAAGTGTCAGTTTTCTGAAATGTGGGCCAACAGATACCTGCAGGTCAAACAACTCTGACTGAAATATATGTTTAGAGCTTTCCTCTCTGTTACACTCCTCATTACTAGGAGACATGCAAGGTGGGAGTTCCCCACTGAATACGTTCAAAAGCACAGGTTCTAAATAAAAAATTCCATGTTCAGCAGGATAGTCAGTGGTTTTTCATCACTGGATGCTGATAACCCATCCAAACCTGCCTGTCTCCTTAAAGGACCCTCAATGAGATGAAGGTGTTTCATGATACATTTTTTTTTGCAAGCTTGTAATGTATTATTTATCAATAGAGCTCCTTCCAAATATTAATAATACATGTTCTCCTACTTCTGCTGTGAAATCCTTTTTTTTCTTCCTCCAGCTTTACTAAGTTCAGAAAATAAATTTAAACTTTATCCTGTGAAATATTAGGTGATCTATATCATGGCTTCTTTGGCATAAGTCCTTTGCAAAACTGTGGTCCTGATTATGTGACAAAAACATTAACCCTGGAGCAGTTTATGTCCTTTGTTTCAGACTGCACTTCCTGGCCTTGTTGACCAACGACAAGCAATGGGATACTGGAGGTCTCAATCTCAGCAGCACCAGGGGTTCTGACCTCTTGTCAGGCCTGAACTTGGCACCGACACTGACCAGATTCAAAAGACTTATTTTTCACATAAACTAAAATTCTTCGCAAGTATCCTTTTAGCTATGGTAGTCAAGCAAATGGCAAACTCCATTTCCTGGCAGGTAATTACTCCAAATCATTACAATACTTTCAAGGAAAAAAAAAAAAATACAGTTGTTATGTTTGAAATATAATTAATGCTCTACATTTTCTCACTTAGTTATTTTGTTTAGCTGTAATTAGCCTGGTGTCTCTGTGAATTTCAGGCAGACTACACATCATCTCATGCTGTGTAACCGAACAAAGCTGACTTAAGTAAATTCACATTGATCAAGACTGTTGCCTTTAACACATGCAAAAAAAAAAAAAAAAAAAAAAAAGAAAAAAAAAAAAAAAGACGACCAGTACACTGGAGTCCCCATACTGACATTTTAGCTTGTAAGCCATGTTAAGTGTTTGTTATTTTCAATATCAACACAAATCTCCAATCTTATTCTCATCTGTTTTGTTGAGCGTCACTGCTGTAATTTGTCTTTTGTGACATTCGATATAAAGAAAAGGTGTTCAACCTTACTAGCATGCAAAGTACAGGACAAGCTTGGTCTCTTGTGTGTGATTTATTTTGTTTCTTCATAGCAACAATTGTGCAAAGATGTCATAACTGCAATTCATGCATTAAATTAGACCTGGAGGCTATCTTCTTCAAAGAGGATGATGTATTCCACGGTTTCCTCTGTGTCATGAAAGCCATCTGACATAATGTGAAAATTGTGCATTTTTGCACCACCACAGTAGATGAAAGCATACAAAAAAATACCAAATAGTAAGGCCCCTAACAGCAAAGGAAGTAAAATAAACAACTGAAAACCAGAATGGGAGTGAACACTGGGCACATGAAGCTTACCAATGTACTGAGTTTTCAGTCTCCAGACAGTTAGATTATTTCCTGTTGTACCCATGGTACCCTTCCAAGAGCTGAAGAGGAAGCTGAAAGGAAGGGGCAGACTGCAATTGTGGTCAGTTTAACAAGCACTGAGGATGAAAGCAGTAAGAATGATATTACAAAGAGGCCCTCTGGGATGCTATGCTTATTGATCAGGTTTGGAGCATCCCACAAGTGCTTTGACAGCATGTCATCAAACTAAAGGACATATCATGTGAGATCTGATAAAATAAAAAAGTCTTAGGATTGAAATTTAGGCTAGCAAATGAAACCCGAAGATAAGGATGTTCATAGTAACATAGTTTGAACTAGTTTCACCATGTACAATCAGGAGGAAAAGATTGAAAGATAGAGCTTTAAATGCCTGGCTAATAAAAAGTGGTGAGGAGAAGTGAGTCACAATATTAGAATGTTGGAGCACTTGTTAACGAATAAGAAAAATTGCAAAATTCATTTTGGCCATGAGAATAATAGGCTTTTGAAAGTTTAAAAACTTTTCTATGACCATCGTGATACCTAGTGAAAGGTTCAGGAGAATTTTCAGGTGTTGGAAAGCATAAAATTAGAAAAGAAAAAAAAAAGTAAAGGTATGCAGTTCAGACAAAAGGTGAAGCTATGAGAATTCTGGATTCTTCACCGGAGAATGCTACAAAAGGAGATGACAGCCCAGTAGGAAATGCAGAAGTGGTAGTTCATGTAGAATCAAACCAGTGAAGAGGAGAAAGAAAGCCATAATATAAAGCCAAGGGTTAAAATGGGACCTAGTTACCCTAGTATAGGTAACTTTAATGCTTAATGCTAAAGAAGAATATCAGCATTATATCTGAGTTCAATATCTGTGGGAAAGAAGAAAATCAGTCAGGCAGCATAGCATCAAGGAACAAAGTACACAGGAAAGTCACAGCAGACTTTGTCCATGGAGGAATAATGATGGTTGTGAAAGGAATCTTTGTCAACTAAGACTTAAAAAAGAGAACAGGATTAACATTGTCTATTCAGGAAAAGTTCATAGTTATTCTACACTTTACAACAACTATAATTAGCTTAAATACAATACTTGTGCAAGAGCAATAAAAACTAGAATTACAAGATGGTTGTATTCAATTAAATAAAAAAATTAAAGTGGAAATAAATAAAACTGAGGCATATTACTATAGAAATTCTGAATGGGATAGCTGAGACTGTTAAATCACTATGGATGGTGTGGATGCTATCTAGGGATATCATTTAGAAGACCCACAGCAAATGCACGTATCCATTAAAAGGAAAATCTGTAAGGGCAAACAACATAGCTAATAAAAGAAAGAACACATCTTTCAAAAAAAAAAATAAGGCTATATCTCAGAGATGACAAAAGAAAGAACGATAAAACCTGCTTTATCTATAAAACCACAATAAAGAAGACAAAAAATGAGTTTGAATAAATCTCTGTAAACAAGCTAATAATAATTGTCTTTTAAGACATCTGGAAACAAAAGCCTAAGAGAAACTGTGTAAAGCCAGCCCAACTCTGAAATGCAGAAGTGCTCAGAGAAGATAATATCAAAAATATAAAACTTACTACAATTTTTTCCTTTATTCTTAGTGTAGAAAAAAACTGGGGATTTTTTTTTTTTACCCTAGAACTTTATAGGGGACTCAGGAGAAGGTTAAATTAGCTGTAGAAGCAGTTGTGGAACAAACAGACACAAGAGTAACAAATCATTTGTATGAGCTGTTACATGCCGAGCCTGAAGAATGAAATAAGGGAACTATTATGATGTGCAATATTTTGCTTCAAACCACACTGGCAAAAGAAGGCTTGGAGGTATAATATAACACTAATTTTTTTTATTTTTTTTTTCCCCAGAAGTTCTCCGGGGAGTCCAGGGGAGATAAGGATGGATATGACTGACATGTACGGGCAAAACAGATTTACTGTAGGAGCAGATTTACTCAAGTCAGATGGAATTTCCCATTTTGAAAAAAAGAGAAATCAACACAGCTGCTCTAAATCAAGCTGATATTTTGCAGTGCTTTCTGAATTCTTTGAAGAGGTTAACATGCAAGCAATTATGTGAAGATGGATTAAAAACAAATGAGGGGAAGTTGTTAGTTGTATGATATATATCTGTGGACCTCTAACAGAGGATGTAGACTATAAAATTTAACATAAATTTCAAAGCAATGGGGCAAATTGCTGCAAGAAAAATACATTGCAGGTTGTTAAATATTAAGGTACCATTAAAACTAAACAAAATCAGAAAGTAAGGAAGTTTTATGAAGTATTGATTGGATTGTTTTGTAGAGACTATCTAGACATGAGTGTAAGACACAGAGGAAATGACCAAATGGATCCTTCTTGTAACATGATTTTTCTTACATGCCTGCAAAAAGAAAATTTATTTTCAGACTGAGTAAAAGAAGAATAATTTTTATATGAGAGAAAATTTCACAGTTGGAGATGTGGTTTTGTACCTGTGGAGTATTCATGATTTCAATTCACAGGCAAAAAAGAGATGCAAAGTAAAAAGCTGCCATGGTCTTACTGCAGATTCATGCAATATATTCTAATATGAATTAGCCTTACTAATGAATTTTAGCAACTAATTATTTTGGCATAGTTATCAAGATATATGCTTGATTAGTTTCTGCATTTTGAAGGTACAGAATATACTAAACTTCAGTAAATTTATGGAGACAAGTAAGTGACAATCCTCCTAATCATACACAGACTATGAAACTCTTTAAATTAGCATACTTCTGAAAAGCTTCATTTAAACTGACTGATGTGAAACATAACAATTTATCAGTGAATTATCACTGTTTTGAGGCTGTAACTGTTTTCAGGGATAGATATCTTCTGTGACAAGACATATAAAAATCTGTTCTAAAATATCATAACAGTAACACCTAGCATAAGCCAGCTCTGCCTTTGGTACCTGGAAGTCTCAGGTTATAATCTTTTGTTATTTGAAGGAGTTCACGCAGTTTCCCTTGACAAAATAGTATTTCCCAAAGAATTTTTATAGTGTAAATGAAAGGAACTCAGGCTCAGGCTACTTTTGTGGAATGATGGTATATATCCTCTTAAACATTCAACTCATACTTTCAAATTGAGCTTTATATTATTTTTTAAAAAACAGGATGATTTTTTCATCATATACTTTTCAGCATATATTTTTACATCAGTTTCTTATCTACAGGACTTTTCCAAATTAATACTTTTAGTCATGCTTATTTGAAAATCAGTGCTTTGGAATATTACATACTCTTAGGAAATCTGGGTGGGTTGTCGTTGACATCCGTGAGAGTAATGTTTACAGTGGTGGTACCAGCTAGTCCTCCCAGCTGTCCTCCCATGTCCTTGGCTTGGATTAGAACTTGATATTGTTCTTTCACTTCTCTGTCCATATTTGGCAAAGCTGTTCTTATTACACCTATGAGAAGAAATCAGAAAGAAAAGGAGCAAATAAACAAAGGGCTGTGATTGTCTACTCTTATAAATTAATACTTGATCTCGAACAGAATTCTGTTCTTCTGAATTGTTTGATGAGAGGAGGTCACATGAAAACATGCAAATCTCTCAGGCTTTTCAAAAGTGTGTTTGTCAGCTATTCAACCACTCAAAATGACTGTTTTGTCTTTTCAGTCAGGTTATGAATGGATGAAAGAGAATGATGTGTTTTCACTTGGGATGTGACTGCTGTGATCATAGGTTTGCCACATCAGGGATGAGGAGCACTGCCTTGTACAAAGTAAGGCAATGTGGAAAGAGGTGGCATTGCATTGCAGAGCCTGCATCTTCAATTGTTTCCAACCATTCACTTGACAATAAATTCAAGTTACTGTAGGCCAAGACAATGTTCCTCTGTACAAAAGGCGGTCTTTATTAGAAGACTCTTCCTTTCCTAGAGAAAGTTTTCTGATATAGCACAAATATGTAGTGAAAATTTGAGAAATTTATTTTTAAAAAAGAATAAATATCACAGTAAGACGTTACTTTTAGTCTTTAGTGATTTTGGATAGCTGCTATCTAAGCAGATATGCCATAATCTCCCTTTGCATATACTAAGAATATATAGAATTGAAAGGAAGACTTGGAGAGTGAAAGAGGGGGAGAGAAAGGGAGAGGTACTACTGAACACACAGATTAACCAATGAGGTTGTATAAAGCTAAAAGGTTTGGGGTACTAAAGGCTTTTCCTTGAAATCAAATATGTAGGAGGAAATACATGCCTTCATCAAAATTTTGAAAATATAAACATCATTGCAAAATTTATTTATGCCATTTATTCAACAACAGTTATCAGAAAATGCCTAGGCACATTGGTGCAGATAACATGCAAAATTGAAAAATAAACTAACTGAAAGTATGACCTTCCTGGTTATTATTGATTTAGAAAGTATTATTTTCTAGTATTAAACAATTTGATGTAAAAAGCAGGTTTTTACCTGGTGTTAAAATGAGTCTGGAATAGCAAGAATCAAACTTAAAGGACCATTCTTATCTTTATAGCAGCTAACCACTGCTGTCTTAAGAATCCAGAATAGGAACCATTTGCTTATAATACTTTTTCAGAATCTAGAAATAACGTTGACCTAAATCTGCTATTTCTGGAACCTATTAAAAGTTCCCATTGAATTGAACTCCATAAAAATTTCCTTTCTTGCCACCTGTAACATGATGATAAGGACAATATTAGGTATCACCATTTTCCTGCCTTAGGATGGCATGTAGTATACTGCATGCAGTTTGCTTCAAATTGAAATCTTGAATTATAAAACTGCAAAAAATTTGTTCATATTCATGAGATTCAGAAAAAGAATATTTTTGCAAATAGGATAAACTTTACAGGTTTCCTCTTGAATCTCTTAATCTTAATTAGTGCTTAATTTGGAATTGTGGAGGCTATATGTTCCACAGTATTTTACAACAACCTTGGTATGTTCATTCCAGGGAGAAAAGACCTATGGGAATGAAAGATCTCTTGTGTCATACTAGCAAAATTAAATATAAGAATTACAGAATCAGAATATGCTAAGTTGGAAGCCACCCATCAGGATCATTGAATGCAATTCCTATCTCTGTGCAAGACGCCACCGGAGACACCCCAAGGACACCCCATGTACCTGAGAGTGTTTGTACAAATGCTTAATGAACTCTGTCACACTGAAACTGTGATCACTTCCCTGAGAAGCTGTTCCAGTGCCCAACCACCCTCTGGGTGAAAAACCTTTCTCTGATATCCAAACTAAACCTCCTGTGACTCAGCTTTATGACATTTCCTTGAGTCCTGTCACTGGTCAGGAGAGAGAACAGTACCTGCCCCTCCTCTTCCACTCACAAGAATGTGGAAGACCACAATGAGACTTCCAATCAGTCTCCTCCAGGCTGAATGGACCAAGAGACCTCAGTCCCTCTTCATATGGCTTCCCCTCAAGGCCCTTCACCATCTTCGTGGCCTTCCTTTGGATGCTCTCTAGGAGCTCACATGGGTCTTTTTTATATTATGGCACCGAAAAGTGCTGCCAGCACTTGAGGTGAGGCTGCCCCAGTTCAGAGCAGAGTGGGACAATCTCCTCCCTTGCCCGGCTGGCGATCCTGTGCCTGATGCACCCCAGAACACGGTTGGCCCTCCTGGCTGTCAGGACACAATGACTCAGATTCAATTGGCCATTGTCCAGGACGTCCAGGTTCCTTTCCATAGTGCTGCTTTCCAGCCCTTCATTCCCCAGTCTATACACAACCAGGGTATAGACTGAAGAATCTGGTGTTTGTCTTTGTTAAGCTTCCTATGTTTGGTGACTGCCCAGCTCTCTATTTTGTCAAAAATCTGCAGGACCTCCCTGCCCCCAAGAGAGTCGACAGCTCCTCCCAATTTAGTGTCATCAGTAAACTTATGTAGTGTTCCTTGTAGTCCTCTGTCCAAATAATTTATGAGGATGTTGAAGAACACTGTGTTGAGGATGGATCCCTACAGAGCCCCATTAATGCCAGGTCACCACTCTGATCACCCCATCACTCAGGTCACCCCATTCACTACAACCCTTAGTGCCTGACCTGTGAGTCAGTTGCTCACACATGACATGATGTGGTGTTTACCCAGCTGTGTGCTGGACATTTTGTCCAGAAGGATCCTGTGAGAGATAGTATCAAATGTGCTGAAGTTCAAAAATATGCTGAAGTTCAAAAATATGACAGAAAAAGATGGCAGAAAAAATTAAACATGGGCACACAACAGGCTGTGAAGAAAAAATGCAGTTTATCTAGTTGATATAGGTGTTCTGGGCACAACTAAGTGACTTTCTCAGAAATGTTCCAGGGATTTTTCAGAATATGAAGAATGGGCTATCATTCCAGTAGTAAAGTGCCAAATCACCCACGGTTTATTCCTGTCTGGAAGTGTAAGGTCATTCTATATATTTTTCTGGAAAAAAAAACATTATCTTTAGAAGAAAATATCTAGGAAAATAATTTTTTTGTCTAGCAATTCATGGGAAATTTTTTTTCAGCCTACTCTATTTCAAAGGCTTAGTCAAAATACTGAGAAATATTATTTCTTCCAAAATCAGTTCATATGTACAGGACAAATGTGAATTAGAGTTATCTTAACAGCAAAATAGAAGAATAAAGTACAGGTAAGGATCCATGGGAAAGAAAGGGCTACAAATGCTGGTATTTCAACTACAACATCACAAAGAATATCTAAATTTAAATCAAAGCGTTATTAAAATGTAGAGGCCGAATGTGCATGTGATGGTGTTCTGAGTTTTTGTAAGTCCTTTTACATTAAGATTTTACAATATTGTTCAACTGCAGAAGTGAATAACATTGATTTCCTTTTTTTGTCTTTTCAGATGTCATCAATATCAAATGTGTAGAAAAATATGGTCTCCATGAGATTGTTGAAAACTGAAAATAGTATGTACGAGACTTGGGCCATAAGATTTGCTTTCCAAAGTTATTGACCCATAATTCAGCAGGAGATCACTCACTTTTGTAGAAGAGAAGACACGTCCCAAGAAAAATCTCCTGCATAAATATTAACATCAATATTCCTGCTGGTACCAATTTGGATTTCAATAATATAAGTGAAGTCAGAAGATGGACTAGAATGCAAAGTCTAACAAAACCTGGTTACATCTAGCCATAAATAAGAATATTGACCTCAAAAACATATCAGAAAATTGGGTATAAAGGACATTTTCATGGTGGAAATAGACATTTTCATAAGAAAAGAGAATATACAGAGGAAAGAGAAGACAAATTGTCATGTTAAAAACCCCTCACATTGAAATCAGGAGAGAAATTTTGTAGCATTTAAAAGCACCCCTGACACACAAGGTTTGAGGCCTTAGAATGTGGCATTCAAACAGTTGCTCTCCAGAAGGTACTGTCCTTCATGTAACCTCCCTGAAATAGCAATAAAAGCTAACTCTCCCGCTTCCACATGGTTTGCTTATGTCCAACAAAAAGATGGGGAAAGATTAGGAAGTCAATAAAGACAAGGAGTAAAAAAAGGGGCAGCTGTGACATTTAGACCCATAGAGGTTGAAAACTATTTAAGTGTACTAGTTTCATATCAGAGTAAATGTGTAACACCTTTTAGGAGTGATTTGAGGAAGGAGTATGTGCTAAGTCTTGTGCTTTACAAACGCAACCTTTATTTCACACATAAAGTTATGGTCAGTGGTTTCTCTCTTACTGCTTTGCAATGGGATCTTCAGCTAGCAACAGAAATTTCTACAAGCATATCAATATCTGGGCGGTAGAAGCTAAAGACACAAACAATGTTGGGAAATGTTTGGGAAGGAATAGAGAACAGAAGTGCTGTTAAACAGCTCTATACATCCATCCAAGAGGATCTGGTTCTTAACCAAATAAACTTTTGCTGTGGAATTTCTAATCAGTGGATATGCAGGTGCTGTACTCCTGGACAAGTCAAATCTACTGGAAGTGGAAAAGTTGTGAAGGAGAAATGCTTTCAGACTTTTAGTTACTTTGATCCTGCTTGTCACCCAGGAACTTTGAAAGGACAAGTTCTTTCAAAACTAGAAATGTATTCCAGGGCTACATCACTAAACACTCTTCATCCCTCACTAGAGCTAAGCAGGCCGTCACTTTTGGAAACACGACACAGGGTAGAAACTTAGCATAGATGTTCTTGTGTTGTTTAAATAACTACAAGATTATTTCTCAAAATTGTTTATGGAATGCAAGAGATGCAAAACAAGCCAGCAACAACACAAAAAATGCTTATTCATCTGCTGGGCAGTTCTGAGTTTGTCATTGTACCAAAATGGCTTTTTTCCCCTTTCCTGCCAAAAGCACTCAAGAAAGATTTCTGGCAGTAAAACTCTGCAGTGAAAAACTACTGTGTAAACTCCTCAGTTACAAAATAAAGAATTTGAAAGAGCAGAACTGCAGTACTGCTCTGGACTTCTGGATTTTAGACCAAATCCTTAGGCATCATCCTGTTCAGTGTTATTCATATACTGTTTATCTCTAAAGTCACTGTTAGACACATGAGTAATTCTCATAATGTGAACTTCCTAACATAAGACACTCTACAAGCATATTATTGATGCTTGTAGAAGCATGAATCATATGCTTTTTTTCTGGTATAGGATTTTAAACTACACTGGGCTACTGTTTCACTAATCTTCCTCTACAGCTGTGTCCATTCTTTTAGCACATGAGGAATTCATTTAAGGTAATAGCCAGGTTTGTATGATGTTCCAGGGCTTGTAGGGTGCAGGCCATCACCTATCATTGACTCACTGCTGAGTAACAGATGAGAACATATGACACAGCCATTCGAAGTGCCATGGGAAAAATAGTTCTTCTTCCATGTACAACTAAATTCTCTTTTTCCCTTGAGAAACTTGTACTAAAACTCCAATTTTGGCTCCAGTAAAGCTTTTTCTTGCCACTGAATTTATACCCATTCTTTACAAAACTGAAATGAAAAATTAAGAATAAAGGCAACTACTTTTTTTTCCAGACACCTGAAGAAGTCCTATTTCAGTTTGAAAAGTAAAATTGCTCACTGCAAATTGCAGTATGATCTCCTGCTAAATGGAGCATGGAGAAAAGGAATGTGTACATTGGAGATGGTGTACTCACAGCCTTTCAAAGCTCCACCGTCATGGCTAAAGGCCCTGAATCTGACATTCAAGTACAGCTACATTGGAAGGCGAAACTATTTGCTGAAAGGAGCATATGGATAGCTTTCCCTATAGCACACTCAGGATGCCACAATGTGTGTCATTCACCATGTACGTTATCACTTCCTCAACTGAATTACTAAATATAGAATCAAGAATGACATTTAGAAATATAGGACAAGATACCCAATTAACATGTCTACCAACCTCCGAAATACTTCAGTCTTTTTACACATATTATCTTTTTCTGCTCACACATCCAATAACCCCAAAGATAATATGCCACAGGAAAAGAGGAGGGAAGACGATTAGCTGTTCCACAGTCTCAAATTAGTTCAATATAACAAAACAATAATTGCTGGAAAATTTCTAACTGTATGTTCAGCAAGTAAAAATGCTGAGAAGACCCAAGTTAAAATACTCAGTCATCAGGGGGAAAAAAAGGATGCATGTAGAAGACAAAGCTTGATCTTAGGGAAATGGTAAAACATTGAAAAAATAATCATTCAATGTAGACATATTTTTGATATTCCAGTACTGATTGGACGAGCATGTTTCTTTTGTTTGTACAACACATTGTAATTCATAAAAAGCTAGTCAATACTCAAAAGTGAATCATGGGAAAGTGCTCTCCTGGATTTTGGCCATATCAACCGGGTCCATATTTATTCATTGATACTGCCTACATGAATCAAAAAATACAAAGCTTAAACTTTCCACTATTGCTGATAAACTATTTACCTGTCTTGGGATCAATGGAGAAATATGGTTGCCCCTGAAGAATGCTGTAAACCACTCTAGCGCTGTTTCCATAAGTGGGATCATCAGCATCTGTCGCTTTTACTTGAAGGACATATGCTCCTGCAAAGAAACACAGGTAATCACATTTTTGTCATAGAACAGTGATCAGGGATATTTCAGACACATTAGTCCAGTTGCTCATGGATTCTGTTGCAATTCTTGTTCCACTGGAAAAAAGGTGAGAATAAAACTGTTAATTCTTCAGGTCCATGCTAGCAGCCATCTAGGCAATAGCTGAGGCATAAAGGGGAAGAAAGGGAAAGGTATCCACCATCAGAAGATACTTATAAATAGTTTATGATTTTTTGCAAAAACCTTTTACATAACACATACAGAATGGAGGTTTGGGGAAACTCAATATTAAATTATGAAAAAGGATTATACCCCACAGCTTTGTGAAAAAGTAGCCAACCATGAAATCAAAATATGGGAGTTGCCTTTAAAACAAGTGTTTGGTAAATCAACTCCTGAATCTTCAGCAAGATCAAGTGAACCAAGCTCTAAGTACTTTAAAGAACTGCACTGCAGTCTCCTGAATTTGGAATTCATATTCTTACTGTAGAATTAAATTAGATGTTTAGTTCAGGTAGTTGTCTTTAAAGTCCAGGCTTGAGTACCCTTGCCCTTCCAATACAGCTCAGTAAGAATTAGAAATACTGTGGAGGAAGTATTCCTTGTCACTTTGTTTTCAGCCTTAACTATAGACCAGACCTAGTGCAGTTTTCTTTACATTACAATTTAAAATGGATCAATGGAGCAAAAGAAATGTATATGAAAGCAGAAAATTCACTGCAAATAGCAAAAGTCCACAGAAATGTCTTGTTCCTTCTGCTGTTTGTTAATCTGTTTGCTTGCATTTCCTCACTGCCTCATAATGAAAATAGTTTTAAAACTATAATCTGCAGCAAAAAAAACCTGCCACATTGTTAGGCTTTCCTATCAGCCTTGAAGAATTGTTTCCTATGATCTTCTGTGCAATTCAATGTTGGAATTTGCAGTGCTGATTTGGAGTGAAGATTGCCTACACAAGAAACAGTACAGTGATGTGCATAATCTCCACCATTCCTGCTTTAAGCAGCATTGTACATTTGGAGGTCATTTGACATTTTTTCAAGAATATCCATGGAATATTGCAAGACCTTTAAGACTTCTTGTTTTCTGCAATGAAAATGGACAAGTTTTAAAAAATGTTCAGAATTGGAAATAAACCTTAATGGACTTGTCAAAGTTTTGTTCTGGAAATACCTCACTGAGAGATGTTCCATGTGAAAGGTGGACTTCAGCAGGAAAGTAACAGCAAAGATTAACTGTTTGAAGGGCAATTTTTTCAGTGCCCGGCCCATGTAATCCCTTCATATGACAGTGATGACTGACAATGGTGCTGAGAGGTTTGGTACTAGCATTGTAAAAGCACTTGCTGCATGATGGCAGCACAGACTTCTCCTGTTAGGGTTGTTTTGAGCAATAGAGAATGAAAAGCTATTCCAAGAGATATTCTATCTCCTGAGGAAAACACAAAAAAATATACCTGTTATTTGATTAGCAATCACTTTTTAAAGTTAATGGGCACATCATGTTCTTAAGCTGACAAAAATTTCATTAAAATCAACTTCTAAAAGAAAGAAAATATTAGCAAATAAGTGAATTAATGAAAATAAACACCACAGCTAAATCCATATCTGTATCTCCTCACTTAAAAATGTGATGATGCAATGTGAAGAAAGCAGGCATTGCATCAAAGTGCCTGAAAATTCTGTCACCGACTGAGGTGCTTGATGATTCCTGCACATACTGATTATTAGTGTAGATATTCCTAGGTACATGATCCAGGTAGTCCAACTTTATTATACAAAAGAAGAAAAGTTGATGTACAAACTAAGTTTTATTAAGGGAAACATACAGAGTCTGATAAATAGCTGGCAATGAATATGAAAAATACTCCATTTCACATTGACAGCATTTTCAACTGTATTAACCTACCTGTCAGATCTTTTAAACTAACAGATAATATGTAAAGTTTATCTTTTTTATGAGAGTTCTGGCATGTTGGTTTGTATTTTTTTTTTTTACTTATTTAATGCATACTTATTTAAATGCATACTTAATATTCTAAATGGGTTTTCTGAAATTGGTTTCTCATCCTTTCAGCATTATCAAGCATTGCTCTTTGTATCTAACAAGCTTTCTATTTTATTGCAAAGCATGAAACCAATGTATTTTTAAAAGTAGACTCTAGAATCAAATTATATTTTTCCAGGCAATAATGCAGGGCACTACATTAAAGCTGTAAATCTTTAATGCGAAAATGTCATGAGGAAGGATCACATTAACTATATTTCATGACATTTCAATTAAAATATGTACTTACATTACTACATGGAGTAATGAAATGAAAAAAGAAGATACAATGTTTGTTTTTAGGGAAATATCTTATATGACAGTCAGTATTTAAATATATTTTTAATTTTTCATGTGCAAACAACACACATTTGATATAAAGCATTATAAAATGTAGAAAAAAATTAATTTACTTTAGTTATTTATGTTTTAGAAAGACAAAAAAATAATGTTGAACCATTCACAGAGCTTAAGAAATGCTACGGAATTTTAAAGATTGTGTTTTCTTTGAAAAAATACAAGTGGTATTGAAAAATAGCATACTGTAAATCACAGCAACCATACTCACCTGAATTTTACTCTAGCTAAAACTAAAGGACACTCATCAATAAGTGCTAATAGAATGGAGCCTAAGATCTATAACTTGTTGGCAAAACTGACAGAAATAGCACTAATAAAAAAAGTCTTGTTGTTTATATCAGAATAACTGTAAGGAACTGTAGGACATCTGAGTTTATACCATAACAGAAATGTTTATGAAATATTGATTAGACTTCTAGAACAATTACCTTATTTTTTTCTGCCAGTCTCTTATTGGTAAAAAATATTATTTTGCCAAAATAAAAAGAATCTTTGAAAGAAAACCAATATTGATGGAATGTTTTCTCATCCAAGGAGTACTACAAAAAAATGTCAAAATATTCTAATACTCGGTTTGAGATTTTTTTTAATTGCTTATGATGTCAAAATTAGTTTAAAAATTATTTTAAAATTTAGACCCTCCCAAATTTTGAAACAGAGTATTTGATTCATTGATTATCCTTCCTGTTTTGGTTTTGGTTTTTTGGGTTTTTTTTCCTTATAAAAGACTAAAATATTGAGTCTTTTTATTATTTCAACATAGAAAAAAAATTTGCCTTCACCAAAGTGTAGTTGGGGTGGGATATCTTGCTCTCTGTGGAACTATTTCTGTCATTCAAAGTAATGAAGCATGAAATCTCAGTTTTTTTATGTTTAGTTTGTTGACCTGAACAGCATGACAAAGAATACACAAAACTCGACTGGGAGTAGTTAAAATGGTTATTTCATTGTAAAGGAAAATGAGAGGATTCAATGCTATGAGAATAACAGAGCAGACTTATTTAAATATGATTCCTGAAAGAAAATAATGCACAGTCAATAGAATTGCAAAGACAAACTAGAAAGGAGATGGTGATATGTTATTTTCTTGCTAAGAACAGCTTACACTAGGCCTGCAAATCCCATAAAGTTTGGTTATGAATGCCAAAATTCAGTTAGGTGGTAGCAGTGCATTGTTTTACACAGGAAATGAGGGTGGCCTGCTTCTAGGCTTTTAAGAGGTAAGAGAAGGCTGGATGGAAGGAATAAGTTTTAAAGGTTAATTGAAAAAGGAAGGGATGCTGAAATTATCATATCACAAGACTTCAAGTGTTCCATAGGCTCTGGCTGGAGCCTCTCTCCACTCCACAGTGATCAGAGGCTCAGTCAAAGCAAGTGACTCAGGCCCTCAACCTGCCAAGCTTTGAATTTCTTCAATAACAAAGATATCACTTCTTTGGTAATACTGTCAAGCAGATTCCTACCTCAACTTTTCTCGTTTGAAATTCAGGGCTCTGATTTTGCCACTTTTCTTGTTCACCTTTTTCCAGTCTTTTGTTAGTAGGAAATGAGTATGTGTATGTATTGCATGTGAATTTTCATGGAATTACTTTTTGTAATGGACTACCAAAGGTAGTTTCATTTACTTCATGGGGAGTAAAGACATGATTTCCTTGTACAGTCAAAAGAACTTCATCATCTTGCTGCACAACCTCTCCCCTTCCACATGCATTATGTAATACTTTTGAAAGAAATTAGATGATTGTGAAAATATTTTTTTATGGGAAGGGTGAAGGAAGAGCACAGCTGCTGGCATAGAAACTAACTGCTTTGTGCAATATTCTTTCTAAACAATTCCAAAAATAGCACCATGGCAACCCAAACAGCATCTATCTTCTTATCAGAATTCAAGTAAAAAATCGAATCAACACATTTCATAGTTGTGGGTTTGGGATTTTTTAAGTCTAAGAAAAAAAAAGAAGTGAATGTATGGCTCACTGCAGCCCTACATTGCAATTCAGATCAGGAGATTCCATGTCTCAATAAATATTCTCCTGACCTGCCACTAGTAGTTTCAGCAAAACTCCAGTGCCCAGAAGACAGGTGCATTTGTAAAGAGAGATGCTGACATTGCCCTTTTGGGGCTTATCTTCTGTAGAAAAATTACCAGTAATAAGTTTTGAATATATACTCTGGACGCTGACTCCCACAAAAGTAATGTGAAAAAGACATATTTTACTTGGAAAAGTCAGTTTCCAGTTTATGTATTCATGGCTGTGCAGCCCCAATAATAACACAAGCTTGCTGGCTCCATCAATATCTTGAACACTAGACACAATCAGGGAAGCACACTTTATTCCTGTTTTGCATTCCAGACATCACCCTGAACATATATATTTCTCTCAACTGTCAGAAGTGGCCATGGCCACAAAAGCACTACTGCCATTCCATTTTGTAATTGATGAAGAATGGCAGCCTTTTGATAATAGTTTTGCTGTGCTGTAGCTAAAAACAGCTGTTGCAAATCTCAGCATTTAGCACAAAATCAAGCATGTTTCTAGTATTCTAGAATAACATTTAACTTATATTGACAACAATCCAGG